GATTTACAACATCAATACATGTGTTTGTTTGTTAAGAATTGAATGTGCTAGGTACTATGTTAGTTGAGAGATTTACAACATCAATACATGTGTTTGTTTGTTAAGAATTGAATGTGCTAGGTACTATGTTAGTTGAGAGATTTACAACATCAATACATGTGTTTGGTCAATAAGATTTGAGTGTGCTAGGTATTGTGTTAGTTGAGAGAATCACATCATCAATCACTTTGTTTGTTTAATAAGAATTGAGTGTGCTAGTATGTGTGTTAGTTGGTAACAACATGTAAGCAATCTGATGTGCTCATTAGATATATACGTCATGTGATCAATCCACTAAGAAGTGATTGGATGGTGGAATTAATACCTTATCTTTATGTTTGAAGTATTAATATAAAGAATAGTAGAATCATTCTAGGTATATATATTTATTAAATCTATTGATAATTATTCATTCTATATATTTATTCAAAATATAAATAGCATAAATTGAAATAAATTTTTTATGTTATAATAACTGTTAGTAATATATGAATCAATTATCAATTGTATGAATAAATGCAAAAATCTATTATAAACTGTCACGTCGTTTTTTATTGTTAATGTTATGAAATTATTGCTTTAGTTTTATATAGTTTCACATATATTGCATCATTACAAAACTATTTTATTTTCTCAAAACATTCAAAACCAACTCAATATCAAATAAAAAAAAAAAATATTTGAAACTAACACTAAATACTAGTCTTATGCTTTTTAGTACTCAAGTTTGATTTGTCAAAAACCTTGTGACTTTTTCAAAAACACCTAAAATTTCAATTTTCAAGTGTAATATTTTATGTCAACTGAAGACAAAAATCTATTTGTATTTTGCAACAAATCATATTCTTTTCTGTCAATAAATGTAGATGAAATAATAACCTCAAGTATATTTTCATCTTATTTCAAAAACAATGTTTTATATCCAACAAAAAACAATGTTACGTTTCTTTGAAATCTGACTTCTAGAACTTTGTTTTTTCATTGTCAATTAGATAGTCTTTTCCAACTGATTGTATCATTTAATCCACTAATGGCTGAGTTTCTTCTAATTGGTTCATAACTAATTATCCCGTGAACTCATCAAAGTTTTGGAAGTGTCCACCTCAACGATGTATGTGAATCTTCATACATGTATTTTACACCATACTTGGTATAGTTTTCCCATGGGTATACAAGTCTTTGGGGCATTTCATTCTGACCACTTTAACTCTATTCATATCAGCAGTTGTCCAACATTTTGACTCATTTATTTTTACTCTTGTTACACTATTTTAGCTAATAGTCTAGAAGTACATGACACCATGCCACAAAATTTAAAGATGATGAATTTTCAGCTTTCTATAGTGACAATGAAAAACCGAAGAATTAGTTTATAAACTTTTTACTTTTTTTTTACTTGTAACTTTAATTGTAAAAAAATTTAGATAATTGGAATGCTTCAATCCGTGACTACTTAATATATGATATATTTGATGTTTGGAGTGTTGCATCATTGATGAGTCAGAGTTTCTATATTTTATATATTAAATGTTTGGATCCCAATATTTTGATATTTTTAGATTTTAACTATTTGAACTTTTGAACTTTTGATTTTTTGATTGCAAAATTATTTTTTAATTTAAAACATGTTTATTTTGTGTTAATTACACATTTTGACTTTTTTTCCAAGTTTGTTTGAAATTTTAACACTTTGATATTTGAACATATTTCTTATTTATATTTTCCAACATATACAACAAATCTATCTTCACATATTTCAAATGCATGAATTTGATCAAAATAAATTATTCTTAAGAAGATATAGGTTTATATTTAATTAAATTTATATTTAATTATAATCTATTTACAAATAATTGAATGTTTTATCATTGAATAGAGTTATGATTCTATTGAATTATATAAATTATAAATAATTCAATTTAATTTATCAATTAAAAAATTCATGACAGCTGAAAATATTAAGTAATATTTTTAATAAAAATATTAAATAATTATGAATTTACAATGTTACTTTAGTAAAAAATTGGAATCTTCATATTAAAACATCAAAGGGATTTTTTTGAATCATATATATGAATTTTTATTATGATTTTGAATATCATGATTTATTTTGAATATTGTTGCAATAAATTTTTTAGTTTTTTTTAATCGCTTTCATTCATTCATATATTTTAAATCCAAGGTTTATGCTTAAATATTGTCAAATTTCTGATTCTTTATATGAGTTATATCTTCATAAGGATATCTTCAAATATCCTTATTGAATTACAATATAAAAGAATTCATTATATATTGGATATGACAATAGATTAGATCTGTATCAAATATATTCAAAATTCACTTGAAAACTAAGTTTCTCAATTCTATACAGTTGTAATAATCTTCATTGAACTATTTTGTTTTGATTTTAAATACTAAGAATTACTTTTCAAGATCTTTCAATTGAATGATTTTCCGAATGAAATCTTCTCTGGATATTATATGAATTATCTTACAACAACTCTTCTAGTTATGTTTTTTTTTCCTCAATGTTCTCTGGTCTATAGCTTTGACGAGTTTTCTTCCAACCAGAAAGTAAGACTGTTGTTTCATGAGAGGTGTGAGGACTGCGTTAGTGGCAGTGAAACCCCACGCAAGAGTGCGGCAGACCTCGTGTTTTAAAACGAAAGCTGAGGCCTCCAAGGCTCTTCTCTATGAACAACTTGATCTTGAAGTGAGTTTGAACACTTCATCGACTTTTCTTTGACTGTGTCCACATTTCGCCCTCACAACTAGGTTGATCTTGCGAGGGCCAAATCAAGTCCATAAAGGGAATTTTCTTCTTCAACCACTTTTAATTACTTGCTTCTTATATGGTCTTATACTGGTTATTAATCAGTTTTATACTCAATTTTGACCCAGTTATTTTCTATTTGTTTCGCCTCGAGTCACGTGACCTTGCCTCAACTCCTTACGCTAGTTTTGACTTTCGGTCAACCTAGAACTTTCATTCTTCATCCAACTCGATTTCTTGATAAATGCATTTTCTTGAACCTCTTGCTGTTGCGTTATTTTAGTTCTTGAAGTACTTCTTACTTTCTTGATCACCCATGGGCTACCTGAAAATGCAAATATTCAGAAGCCAATGTTTATTTCTTAGGCGAATGACCAAATTGCTGACAGTAGAAGAGGAGGCTCGTACACGTAGGACGTTCTTGCAAGACTTGATTAGCTTCCAGATTCCGACTTCGAGCTTCGTGTGAGCGAAGATCCAAGCGAAGATCGAACATTCTACAAACGTTCGCGGGATCGTACGGTGCAGTATTTCTCAACCATCTCGGATTAGTAAGAGGATACGGCGTGTCGGAAATTCCGAGTCCTCCCTGTAGCTCTCCAGGCTGATATTTTGTTTTATCAACAATCTGCGATTGGACACGCAGGAAGACCCGGGAACTAGATCCTGTACTGCATCGAAAAACGTCGGCACGAGGTACACCGGAGGCGACTCGACCTCTCTCTTTAAGGGTTTATCCTCGCGGGGATAGAAATGTAGATAGAACTAAATATCTATCTCTTGAAAGCTTGAAAGCTAGTACCGAAGAACGCATCGTACAACAGAACATGTAATCTCCTTCTCCTCCTAGGGTTGAAGGAAGGGGAGGATCGAGCGTAGGCTTTTAGGTAAAGGCTTTGAAGGTCAGTCAGTGAAGTGAGTAATTGAGTCAGTAAGTAGCGAGCCACGAAGAAACGCGAAAGATACTCGTCCGAAGATGTTGCCATGGCAATCACAATCGATCGAGATGAGAGAGCGAGGGAGATACAGAGAGAGAGTCGGGACCCGCCTCCCGCGACCTGAAGCGCAAGCGTTGGTACCAGCGAAAAGGAGCTATGGAGGCCCCAGGTTACTTTAATAAGGCGAGGAGGACTCCGGAGCCGATGTTCAGCCGACCCAATGCAATTAGTACGCGTACGTGTAGCCATTATACGGTTTCGGCGAATCGTGTGCAGGTGCTCTTAGTGTACGAATATTGTGGACAGATGATTCTAGAATATGCCGGAGGCAGATTGGACCGTTGACGTGAGAGGCTGTCGACGAGACCGAGACGGAGACGACGGGCGGACGGACGGAATGGGGAGCGTTTACTGCCGGGTGACGGGGAAGAAAGACAAACTCGAGGGCTCACTGTTGGACTAATGAGACAAACAATGAAGTTATCGGTAGAAGAGGATAGTGAACTGCGCGTGGTCCCAAGGAGGCAAATCATAAATGAGAAAGCGAAATTTGTGATGTGACAGGGTTCTACCCGTTGGGAGGGCCGCGAATGCGAAGAGGCGTGATTTCAATTTTGCGTTCTCATCTGAGAGCGAGAGCTGGCTGATGGAGAGACGTGGAATCGAAGTAACTCGATGAGTTGCCGTCGGATGCATGACGGACGATCGTGGCGGTAGGATGGGCTTGGGCGGCATCGCTCCACTCGCCCTCGATCGTCGATCGAAGTCTTTTAGGGCAGATGGGGGAGACATCTTAACCGTGGTAGCGGGTAAAGGTTCGAACGACCACGCGACCACGCGTAAAGAAGAAGAAGGCAAAGTAAGAATAACCCGTTGGATAAAGTCGGAATGCAGTAAGGTCCAAGATGAGAGAAACACGACGGTCGAACGAAAAGCATAATCATAAGCCTCGGCCGAATCTGGCCGCGCTGTGCCTCTAGAAATAGCCGCGGTCGGGCGCCGCTAGATCCAGGTTAGCTGAGCCTCGGAAGACCGTAGGTCTGACAGCGCAGAACCGGTAGCAGCCAAGACCCAGAGGAAAAAAAGGTCAACGCAGGTTTTGCCGGCTGGGCGACGGTATGAGTATTCCGGCGTGGAACGGTCATAACCGGAGCGTTTGAAAACGGCTAGGCCCGCTGCCCGCCCTCTCCCCGGGCAGCCGGTTCACGAGATCGCCAATTGTGGACGGGACGGGACGGGTCGGGTCGGTCGCTCGACAGGAGGCTCTCTCGTCTGCTGCTCCTCGTTCCCAACAGCGTAATGGCCAGAACTGGGCCTGCAACCTGCAACCTGGACGCGGAGTGGACTCGGTACCTGGTTGGCCCCTGTGTGCTCTACAAGAACTGTCCGACTACTTTTGCGCACGAGCATCGGCTCTTGGGCGTGAGCGAGAGCGAGAGCGAGGGATGTGTTGATGCGTTTCCCTGCAAGGCATTGGAGCCTTAAACGAAGCTGCAGCGGTGCGGATTGCTGTGGCCTCGAATTTTTTTTTCCAGATTTTCCGCAATTTTTCGCCTGAGATTGCCGCGTTCTTGAGGCCGTCCGGAAGAAGGATTTCGGCCCAACCAGTGAGTTGAGTGAGTGAAGGAGTGGGGGGCGGGGAGAGGATTTTCGCAGGGTTTGTGTTCATTAGTGTTGCTTTCTTCGCTGTACACCTGTTGTACTCCCGCCTCGCCTCGCCTCTGCGTCCACATTGCATCGACTCTGTCTCTCTGTCTCTCGCTCCACCTCTCCAGCGCTCGCTCGGCCTCTCTCTCTCTCTCTCTCTCTCTCTCTCTCTCTCTCTCTCTCTCTCTCTCTCTCTCTCTCTCTCTGCCTGCCTGCATTTCGGGTTTCTTTTTAAATTGCCTCGGGGTTTTACTTTATTATTTTTTCTTCCCTTTTATGTTTTGAGCTCCAGGTCGTCGTTGAGGCTCTGCTCTGCTTCGCGCTGCGTCTCTTCGGGGCAATTGTTTCGAGCTTGATTTCGGTTCGGCCCTTGCGTGGCTTGGGCAGCGCAGGGATCACTCTGCGGTGAGCCATATTTTTGGCTACCAACCTTCATTTCGTCGACGCAATTTTACTATTTATCTGGAGGACCTTCAAGAAGTGGCAAGATGGTGGGGGTAACGACGGGAAGCCGTTTTTTGGCGTCGGCGCCCATGGACCTGGACCTCCTGTGCAAGGGTCAGCAGACAGCGTTTGACGTCTTTGTTTCGCACCTTGCAACGCTCAAAGACTCCACCGTGGAGAGCTCTCTGATTAAGGCGGTTATATTCATGCAAGATTTCTTTCTCTTGCGGTTCAAGCACCGGAAGTTGCCCTCCTCTTCAATTCCGCAGAAAAGCTGCGGCGTCGAAAGCGCGTCGAGAATGAAAGGTGGAGACTTAGAACAGTGGGAGGGCGAGGCCTACACCGTCTACATCAACCTGCTTCTGGAGCTCATGATCAAGGAAGGAGTGTCGTCCTCTGTGCACGTGAGACTACTGACTGGTTTCCTCATCTCTCCTGATTATGACCGCTTGCTTCTTTTCCCCTTCGACACCCCGTTCGTCTGCTTTGACCGGCTGTCTGGCTTCAACTCTCGTGTCTCATTATAATCTGTCCTTACTGTTTCAGCCGCCTTTCTGCAAAATGTTACTTCCAATTGCCAAGATGACGCGCATCGAGTCAAGTCTAGAGTGGTTGATCAGCTACTCTGTTTGTTCACCCTATCCTTTATCCTTCTCGGAAAGGGACGCTCTACACGTGTGGCATCTGCTCTTGTTTGCCTTCAACGAAAATCAGTCCGATCGCATCTCGCAAGCCATGGCACCCAGTCTTGACTAACTGCTTGGAGTTGTTTGTCGGCAAGCCGTGTTTTCAACGAGGTTCTCTGCCTCCCTTTGATACTTCTATACCTCGAATATACTCCATATCCAGCAAGAACTGCTTACATGAGGTCGAGGAAATTCATATGTGTTTATGTCTAACTACTTTATCACTCTATGCCCCGGTCCTGCATCGTCTGTGTCCGCTGCTGTTCTCGACATAGCTATCTCTTTCCCCTCGCTACTTCAAGTTTTTCTGGAAGTTGTCCAAACTGTAGCTTCTATGTGTCGACGCTTGGATAGTGAGAGAATTTGTTTGCAATATTCGGAAGATCCGAGAAGCTCAAGTTGAAGCACTAGCAACTTTGCTCGCCCTTTCTTTTCATTGAACGAAACATTGTGGGTTGGGGAGAGAAAAGTATCTCAGTTGTTTCAATCGCATCTCTGCTTGTGTTGTACTCGATTCCGGAATTGCAGTCTCTTGATAAATAGACTGCCTGGTTGGTCTTAGACCTCTACTGAGAATCTCCTTCTCACGGTTGCCTATTAGACGTGTCGATGTGCTAAGTGGAAGGTGGTCTTTAACTTGCCTATGGAGTCCTTAAAAGCAACTGGATATCAATAATCCGTAGCATGCTTCAGGTTCCCTGAAATTGAAGCACCAGCCGAAGACGTTGTGAAAGGTTTCGTTTTAGGTCGGTTGTCGGTTCTTGGGTATTGTCTCTGAGGGTAAATTGTTTCCTTGTGCAGGTACAAGTCGTGAGGACCCTTATGGAGTTTGTTCGGGTGGAAACCCCAGGGAGTTTCAACCATGCCTTATTCGGGAAGTTAATAAAGGCTCTGGTGAGGGACTCTTTGCCTTCTTGTAAAATAGTAATAATGTTACACAGTCCATGTGAATGTCTTGAGTTTCCTATTTCGCAGTTGCACAAATCACATAGTTGTAATAATTTGAAGTAATTATCCTGTCAACCAACCTGACGTGAAGTTGTTAACGTCGTTGTTTGTTGGATAGGTAACTGCCAACCATTCAATTTCCAACATCGTGGCTGTTCTGGAATCAGAATATTTTCAGTATGCAGATGTGAGGTGAGTGTCTGTGCTTTGGTCCCTTTTCTTAACCTGCCAGGTCTACATGCAAAGCTTCTTTTACCCTGACTTTGCTAGTATTAGGGAATACATTTGTAAAGAAGGGTTCAAATATCTTGATATATGAACCCTTCTTTACAAATGTATTCTTTACAAATCTCCGAACCTCCGAAGCAGTGAAATATCTACAGAACAATGTAATATCAAGATAGTACACTGTTCTGTAGATATTTCACTGCTTCGGAGGTTCGGAGATTTGCCGACGAACGAGCATCTATGAAATTTGACAACGAGATTTGTTCATACCTATCTTGTGTGGAATGTTCGACGATGTTTTATGTGTTCACGTCGAAACATATTTTTTTCATGGTCGAAGCTTAAAGGGTTCGCCTCGCCGTTGCCCTCTTGTTGATATACTTTGCTGTCTGGCCGCTGTAGCTTGCAAATGTTCGCCAGGAACCTGTACGAGATTCTGTCACATCTACCTACAGCCTTGAAGGGTGACTCAGGCAGTGAAGGTATTGAGAACATAACCCAAGAAGAGATCTGGTGTTATGCACGTAAGGTTGAAGCATGTTGTTGCCTCAGACCGTAGAGATTAATCTTGATATCAGAGCCCGAGCTACTGGAATTTATCTAGCTGCATATGATTGAAGGGTTGACTCCAAAAGCTGAAGTTTGTATATTTACTCAAGCTCTATGACTAGTTGGTTCGTAATCAATGATGTATGAAGACTCGGAGTCTAATGTCGCTCTTGGAACTTTGCACGCAGTGACACTGACAAGCAACACGCTTTCTGAAGCGGAATCCATCGTAAGTGTTTCTTAAGTCATGTGCCCTTTGTGATGTATAATGATGACAAAGAGTGGAGAAACTTTCCTTCGTTCTAGCGTTGCAAATAGGAATCATATACATATTTTACATACTCTTGCAGCTGAGAAGAAAGTGTACTCTTGGTGGAGATACCGTCGCTTCCTATTAACAGTATCTTGACTTTATAAGCTGACTTGCTTTTAAAACAGGCCATTGAGAAAAGGAAAGATGCCTCGATTCAAAAGGAAGCTTTTATGAAAAGTTGGAAGTCCTGTATCAAGCTTTCTCAACCTCTCAGCATTCAAAAGAAGGTAAAATTCCCTGAGTTTTCAATGATGATTTCAATGATGAAACCCTTATTCATCATCATGTCATATTATTGTCACGAAACAGGATAGTGACTTTCTCACTGTCCTCCATAAAAAAAAATGCTCCTTGCTTTTTATACTTATTTACCCCAAGTCGACATTACGTCAATGCACTTCAACGTATTTGGCGTAGTGATCCCTGTATTACTATCTGCAGAATCATGGAGATATGCTGTCACGCGTTCTGTCCATCACATCCAGAAGTTGCGCCATTGCTGCCCCCGACTCCTTCCTGACTTCTCTGGCAGATGAGGTGCATACATTTTTAGATGCCTGATGGATGAACAGGGCATATGAAGCCCTTTCGGCATTTGCTCTTGGATGGATCAATCTCTTTGGCGACGGGATCACATTTCTCAAGACTTTTGCAAAATTGTATCAGACAGATTGTTCACATGTATTGGTTTTTGTTCCGCAGGTCGATGAGAGGTTGATGCAACTGGCCGCCTGCAAAGACTCTACAACAGATGAGCTCTTTCCTGTGAAAGGACTCAAGTGTGGAAGAACTATTGAAGCCGCCGATTTGATGGTTTCTGCTGCTCGAGGTAAAGAGGATGATGATGATGACGACGACGATGATGATGACGATGAAGATGAGGATGAGGATGAAGACGATGATGACGACGCCAAGGATGTTGGGGGCGAAGACGATGATGTAGAAGGTGAGGAAGGGGAGGAGGAAGGTGAAGACGAAGAGGAGGACGACGATGGTGAAGCAGACGACAATGGCGAAGATGATGACGGAGAGGAGGAAGACGGCGAAGATGATGACGGCGATGAAGACGCGGAGGGCGAAGAGGAGGAGGAAGATGATGAGGATGGTGACCATGACGAGGACGATGATGATGAGGACGCCGAGGGAGAATCGGAGGAGGACGTGGAGCCTCCCAAGAAGAAGAGAAAGTGAACGAGGTGTCCTTCAGGGTCTCCTTGCACCAAAACATGTGCAATTTTTGACATGTTCTTGTCTTTGGTAGGAAATTTAGACTGTGTTTGTGGTGAGCCTTACTACAGGGTAGGTGAGAAATCTTTATTGCGGCCTCATATTTTTTTGTGGGGGTTATAGAGAGCCTAGTGGGCTGCTTAGCTTTAGCTTAACACCCGTTCATTGTTTCCATTTTGCAAAAGGCGGTGGGTTTCTCAGTAGAACATGCTGCTTGTCTAGTGCCTGCCATTCAATGCAACTAGTGGAAAGTGAGTTAGTCCTTAGCTTGCGTGCTGCTTTGTGGTGTGGTTTGGTAATATTTGTCTTATTATGCTGTTTTGGTCTCTTCTTACTTCCCTTCTCAACAAGCGAGAGCACACCAAGGGAGAAGAGGTGACCTCACCCTGGCTGAACAGCTCCGTGTGTCTCTGATGAGTTGCCGCGCATGGATTCATCATTCATCATCACGCAGGTCTTACCCTCCTGTAGGCAGACCGAATGTGTAGTTGAGATTCTCTTCGTTTATGTAGAGATGCTGGTAGTTTACTGTCTTAGGTGTTGCCTTTCAGTTCTTAGTCGTTTCTTTTATCCTCTTTTTTCCTTCCTGTTCTGATTATCTTCGAATCCGTATTATCTCTGACTCTCTTTCCAGGGGTTAGTAAGTTCTGAGACAATGGTTTAGAAGGTTATGAGTTTACCTAGTTTTTTGGGGTGGGTTAGATGGAAAGGTGAAAATAGTCATGCTTTTGTGTGTCCCGCCTGGACTGGCCTATCTCCAGGAGGCTGGCTTTAGCTTATAGTGTTTTCTACTCTGTAGAGAACTCCGGGATGTTTGTGCTTGTGCTTCCATCTTTTCCTGTCTTCCCATGTTAAACTTCAAGCTAGGAGTGTTTGCTCCAGTTTGCAAACTGATGTGTAATATAACATTGACCTCGGTTCTACAAGCACGAATATCCCTTGTCTGAAATTGAAATTTGGCACGTCGTATGTATGTCTGACAGATTTGGATGATGCAGTGTATCTCGTAGTTTTCTTGGAATGGATGAGAAGTCTGGTTCGGTGCAAGAACGGAACGTTGCCGACGTGACGAGTTTAGCAAGAGGAACCGTCAACCCAGGTGTTAAGGAGTTTAGGATCAGAGTGTGTGATTGATGATGTGCACTTGAGTCTGGCGCTGCTCTTATTTTTGGATAAAAGCACCGACTTTGTTATTTATAGAATCCACGTGGCTACTCCCGGGGCGGCTGCTAATAATACATCACATGTGCGCACAATGTGATCGGAGAGGTGAATTAAAGGCAGCAGGAGGGAACACAAGAAAGGAGGAAGTTCGGCTGGATACCAAGATTGCCCGCCGATGTCACAGGGTAAAGATGATCTTGGACGGTTATGAGCAATCATCTTGACTATCTGGGTATTTACACTTGAGTTTCTGGGAGAAGTTCGCCAGAAGTATAGTGTAGTAGTCTATGTGCTTCGAGAAGCATCTGTCCGTACCCATTCTTGGTGGGGTCTTCCTTCAGCTTGGAGATGGCAGGTGATCTCGTCGTTCGCATCCTGCTTTCCTATGTATTACCTATGGCTAACGTATGAGTTGCCAAAGCTATGATGCGAAGTCATTAGAAGTAATTGTCGGAGCAGGTCAAATGTACGTGGAGCATTTTATGTCGATGGACACAATATATTGTTTCATGAACTTCGCATTACATCTGAAGTATGCTACGTCTCAGCAAATACGTCAGTTAACATCTGACACAAGGTTCGCGTAGGAAATATGTACGTCCTACAAGTAAGGCCTTGCGTTTAGTATGAATTCTAGTAGTTCGCCTTCTAAACAGTAGAGGTGAAGAAGGTCGAGGATCAATAAGGGAGTGTGAGTGAATTGAAATGACCGATACGGTAAAATATCGCAATTACACCAAGAACAATCTAGGATATACATGGCACAAGAATCAAAGATATCGAATAGTTTTCAAACCTCGTCAGAGTATGAGTGAAGACACGCGCGTGAGTGATCCGAAAAGTGATTTGAGGCACGTGCAGACACATTTAGAAAGGTAGAATACTGCAGAGCGAGCAATTTCTGTGTGCAAATCCTCTCGAGTGAAAAGGCGAAGACAACTCTATGCGAAAAGATCTTAATTCAGAATACCCAAAAGATCAGTGTCGAAGCCCTCTCTAGTGAAATTATTACGGCATGTATTTGCGAAAACATCTCAAGTTACTATAACCAATCATTTCAGTTAAACCAATGTGCTTAATGCTAATTACATATATCACCAAGACCATGACACTTCGAAACCGTAATTTCGTTAAGAGTACAACTAATTACGTAAAATACATGCGATAGAATTTACAAACTTGGTTTGCGTTGACAATCGCTGAAATGGTAAAAAAAGTATATAAATTCAACTGTCGGAAAGAAATTAAATGTTGTTAAGTAATTCCTGTATTGAAATAAACCAATAAATTGCAACTGTTCCATTCAACTTTTGATCTGAAAGTAAAAAATAACAATTATCAAATATTAATTTTACAAAAATCTAATTTATGTTAAAAAGAAAACATAAAATATATAGTAAAACTATCTGTTATTGAATGCAATCACATGATGAACGTTATTCAACATATAGAACATAGCAAACCTAAAATCTAAAAAAATCGAAATTTTCTGATACTATATATATATATATATAATTTAGATGTGAGAATATTACAAGAATTTTCTCAATATTCTTTATTGGATATTCTTCAAATTTTAAATTATCTTCATAATATGTTTTTTGATTTTCATTTAAATCAACCAACTTGTAATAAAATGGTAAAATGGGTAAATACATATTAAAGTCACATATTTTTATGGAAATAATAGATGATAATGGTTAAAATATTATTTTAATTTAATATTTTATGTTTGATAATTTCCAAATGTGTTGTGTTTTTGTCACAAAGCATATATACAATTTTGATTTCACTCAAAAACTTAAATATATCAACTCAAAAAAAGTTCTTGGAGATATTTACTGATATATTGTCTTGGATTCCATCTTCAAAAGTGTATTTTTTTTTTCATTAAAATGTAAATTACTTGAAACCTAGTATATATATACAAGAATATCATAAGTTTATTCATGAATTCAAGAGCAATTTTGTATATTCTACAATCTTTAAATATTGTCAATGTGAAGTAGTATAGAACATTATCTGCAAATCTATGATATATTGATAAAGCTCAATCAAGAGTGGTGTTGAATTATTGAACGTAAAATTTTCTTTTGCCGAGTTATAGTTTATAATGATAAGTATCTTTAGTTGAATATGAATAATTCAAACATGCATATTTACTATCAAGTGCTAAATTTGTGAATGATGTTTATGTTAGAAAAGTAAAATATGAAATAATTGATGCAAGTCATTACAAAATTTCAGTAAAAACGATGTATAAATGTTTAATTAACATTTATTTAATATGAATTAATAATTGATTTTCAGTTAAATTGTTTTTTCACATGTATAAACAACTTTCAAAACATTTGGTAGAGACACACAATAATTTTCTTCTACAAGATATTAGGTTCACTTTTATATATGAACATAAAGAATGAATTATGTAAAAATCCTTAAGAAATCATTTTGATCTAATTAGAGCTAGTTGACAAGATGAATATAATGAATGACCCTTGATGTGCATATATATGTTTTTTGATTTAATGATGAACATTATACGTTTTGTACAATTCAAAATCAAATATTTAAAATATTTGAGCGTTATATGGTATTTTTTATATGTAATAAAGTAAAATGCTATTTGTTAGAAGTCTACTCAAATCTTTTGTTGACTCAAGTTATTTTGAGCTCAGATAGTGAAGTTAGTTAGACTGTCACTGTATGAAAGAGCTCACAAAAGTTTTGTCATATTAGCTTGTGAGATGTAAATATATGTCACATATGTGTCTTGATTATATGTAAACACATATTGTGTAAACATTAAGGTTTTCGTATACTAAGCCCATAGGTATGAACTAAATAAGTCTTATGTTGCAATGACTGGGGTGTATATACGCCCAGATCATCATGAGTCAGTTTGATCAATACGATCAATCTTACAATTAATATTTGATTATTTTGCCTTTGCGTTGTGCTATTTGCGCTAGCCAAAATTTTATAACAAGGTTTGGCTTTGAAGCTTTACTATTCTAGTGAGCAACATAATGAGATAGAAAGAATTAAATCAGTAGGATATCCGAGACAACATGCGCGAGGAGATGAGAACTCTAAAGAATTCTACAAAAACAAAAACGCAAAGTTTTTAATCAACATAAGTATCTTCTTTGCTTGCAGAAGATCAAGATTTAAAAGTAACAATAATATGACGGGAACTCGAGAAATCAGGGCTACTGTGAACAACAAGGCGCAACGCTTAGTGCACAGATTATGATGATAGAGGTGAAAAAAGATGGCTTGAAGTTATTGTGGATTTGTTCACAATGTACAAGTGCTTTTGTAGCTCCAAGAGCTCAAGATATTTTTTGGTTTGAAGAATAGGAAGGAGTTCGGAAAGAAAAATCACAAACAATTAACAGATTCCGACCAATAAAAAGACAAAAAACAAGAAAGTTCAAATATGTCAAGGCGTGACAATTTGTCAGTATCAAATTTAGCTGGCATTTAAAAGAATAATTTAAGTAAATAATATTGATACCAAATTTTTTGTAATCAAACTTGAATTTGTATATAAACCCATTGCGCTAAATTGAATCTTGATAATTTTGTTATTATTCAAGTGCAACAAGCAACATCAACTTCAAACATTAACAATGATAAGTAGTAATCAAAAAAATTCATGAGCAAGCAATGAATATAGAAAGTAAAAGAAAAAAGCGCAATATTTGATGAAAGACATAGAATCTTAAGACTCAAGAAAAAATACATCATTTATGAAATTTGCTTGTGTATGTTAAACCCTTCACACTTTAAAGCAAGTGAAACGTGGCTCATATCAAAATGATCTTTGTGGTAATGAATGGCAAGTTCAATTTGTTTAAATAGATATGATTTTGCAGAAAAGAGAGTAAAGATTTCATGATTTGGCAAAAAAAGAGTAAAAAAATATATTAAAATTAATCTTAAATCCTAAATACTAAGTGAATTTGACAAAAATTTAAATTTAAGGTCTTATTCTAAAATTAAAAATTTACACCAAATCCTACATTCTTATAACTGAAGCTCAATTATTTCAAATGAATGAAAAAGAAAAAAAATATTCATATAGTAACACAAGGAACAACCTAAAATATTCAAACAAAGGAGATAGTTGACATGAAGTTTGAAGTACTACATAGTTAGATACAATGAAAGCAATGACTATGTACTTTGGAAAAAACTTTATTAGAGATGGAGCAAAATCCAAAAGAGCAAAAATTGGGATAGCGAGTTATCGTTGATGAGCTTTATGTAACTTTACCAAAGGATGGAAATCAATCAAATGCTTCTACTAAACGATCATCAAATAAAAATAATAGAGCTCCTACAAGTGTGGATTATGATCTCATTAACTTACTTTTAAATATCATTATATTGAGATTAAGTATGGTGATGACAATGTGTTGATCTTGATCCAAAAAATAAATAATTTTTGTTCTTATTGAAAAATTCAAGCCTATGTCAATAAACATGAATAGAGTAAGAACTCCTTTTGCATCAATCACCACCATGCAAACATTAGAGTGTTTAGGATTTGATGGTAGGAATTAATTTAGATCTTAGTTAACACCAGTTAGTTAAATTAGCTTGCGTGTTTGATATAAATGATTTATTTGAAGCTATTTGTGATACAAGTGTTTCGTAAGTTGAACTTGTGATCACATGGAGTCAATATCACCAATTTGAATCACTTTTGTGTTCATCCTATTGGAATAATCTGTCACTGAATCTGCAGATAATATTGTGGGATATAAATTCAGATCTTGGTTAATTTTAGTTATTTATATTATTTTTAATAAGAACTTCCATTGCGTTGTCATTATTTAAATAAAAAGCCTGCTGCTATGCTAAAGAGCTAGTCATAACTTTATTTGACACAAAGTTAAAGTGTTTTCAATAAACATCACTTTTTTTACATGGATGTAGTTTTCAAATATGAATCATGCACTAAAGTCTTGAGTCCTTTTGTGTGTTTATCTTTGTAATCCACAAAGAATATTAGACTCACAAAAATTTTGAGTGGATTATGTTACCAACAAAAAAAGGTTACAAGTCATATGCATCCTTTATATGAATTTATTCTCAACATGATTTGAAAAAATTCTAAAGTAATGAAATCTACTAGTTCACATGTTTCAAACACATCTATTGCACATGCGCTTACTTCCCTCTTCTTGGTATGGATAAGATAATGACACTAAATTTTGTATTTAAAGGTGATATGGTAGTTTCAAAAACGATTGCAACTACTCTTGATTTCTACGGCAAACAAGTACAAAGCTTTTTATAACGATACACTAGTGAAAGAAAAAAGATGCCATGCATTTTTCCATAATATATGATGATAGATGATAAATACAATGATCTATCAAATTTAATAGTTACTTTGTCGGTGGAAGATACTTATTTTAGCAAGATCTTAACCTTTAGAATATTATATTTTTCACTGAAATATATAGATAATATATATTTTTTATATTTATCTATAGTGGATAAAATTCAAGATTAGATATCGAAGCTTAGTTATGAAACTAATAATATAATACTATATGAAAAAGAATCTTATGCTTTCAAGAAAACCTAGTGAGAAAATGTGGTGACTGAATCTAAGGAGTATAGTGACATCACAGGAAGGATAAATCATTATAACTACACACTTAAGAACACAATATCTACTGAGATTTGTGCAATTTTCAACAATGTTCCATTATTAATAATGGAACATCGTAATAAATTTAATAAGAATTACTCGCATCCAATAATCATCTCATAAAACTTTCAAGTTTCCATGTTACTCATTATAGACATCTTAGGGTGACTTTAGTTGAAATAGATTACATTTGAACAAAACTAAGTATCATGACCTGATTCATAAAAATAAATCAATTTAGTTCAGATTTTTTAAGTTTAATGTATTTAATGCGTGTTTAACTTGAGATTTATATATGAAGGTCTAGGTGGTTGACTAATCATGCTTCCTTATTATATTGTATAGCGAAAATGTTTAAAATTTAGTTTTAGTAGTCCTTTATATAATATATAATTTTCAAATAAATTTCAGTAAGTTTTAAAATTCCATATTAATTGTAAGTTGACTTTTTAAAAAGTAATCGTAAATTTCTTAGTTTTCTCCTCTTATTTCACATATACCGAAATGCAGCATATTCCTCCGTTAGAATTGGTGTACTTCTTAAAGAACTTGAACGAAATCAGCACCTAGATTTTATCTTCAGCCTTGATTTGAAGCATCTAGAGTTGTTATAATCTAGAGTCTGTATAAAAATATGGAATTCTTTTGAAATGATTTTGTCGAGTAACAAAGATATATCATAAATGTTTCATGTACTCCTATTTTAACACTGATAATCCTCTATCCTATTATACCGCGAAATATACAGGATAACTACAAATTCAAACCTTTTTTGTAAACTGCATAATCTACTCATTCTAGATTCAGCACTTCACACGAGCAATATTGAACTCTTGGCCTCTTTACTAATAGACAGCTAGCCTATTAGCTCTGTTTGTTGAATCGTCGTGCAGGAAATTAATCCTGCTAGTAAAGAAGATCAACTTACATAGTAGATATCATGCTTACGCGGTCCTAGCCTATATCCATACCTGGAAATTTCCTCCATTTTGATGATCACAATTTCACGGTGATATATATTTCAAGAACTACTGCACATATAGTATATGTCATATACCTTCCGTACAAAATCCTCACAAGTTACGTGTTCTGATCTATTTTATATACCTTCCGTACAAAATCCTCACAAGTTACGTGTTCTGATCTATTTTATATCCATTATTTTTGATTGACTTGTCACAAAGTCTGGTTGGTGTAGTTGGTCATCACGCTAGTCTCACACACTAGAGGTCCTCGGTTCGAGCCCGGGATCAGACAATTTTGCATTGAACCAAATCTCCGCGGTTAGCGGAGAAGACCGCTAGAGGTCAGCGATCCGAGGGCCCTAAAGCAGACACTTTTGTCGCCGGAACATTTGTCGGCCAGTTTCATCCTCAGAGAAAGACTGAGGTAGACGAGGCTCGGTTAGTTTCAACCCTAAATCAATTCTAGTCTCACCCACTAGACGACCGCGGTTCGAACCCCTGATCAGACACTTTTGTCGCCACAGGCTGTATTGAGGTGGGCGAGGGACCGCTAGTTGCAGGCCGAGATCAAGACCCCGCGGTCAGCAGATAAAACCAACAGACAGTGCTGCTTTACTGAACTGGAAATATATGATACAACTGAGCAATATGTTGTATGCGTAATTAAATCAGGAAAATGAAGTTTAATGTACACATTAGAGTGCATTATCGAAAAGGTCCCCCCAGCGATCCGGTTGCTCGCCGAGAGGAGGTGCGAACTGGCACATAATGTCACATAGCGTTATAACTCCAATCAGTCGTCTATTCTCGTCGATCATGAAGCTGCGATCACCCCGAGCACTAACAAGCTTTTTTATGGTATGCTTGAGGTTGTCGTCCATGGTGCTTGTGACGGGCTCGCGCATTGGAGGAAGCTTGAAGCAACCGAGAGACAGAGTTGCTGCCGAGATCGCTATGCCAAGGTCTTCCTCCAGAACACTTCTATGTCTTTCCTCGACGTCATCCTTAGGAAGAAGATCAGCTTTCATGAATTCGTTGATGGTTACCTTCCTGCAGACAGATTTGCATCCCGCACTTTCAGGGTTTAGGGTTTAGGGTTTGAGCTGTGATCCAACGTAAAGAGCCCAGCACATATCAGAGGTTCACCTCGTACTGAAACAACTCACCTCCTGCCCTTGAACAGTTCATTGCTCTCAAGTAGAATCCTCGCATCTTCGCTGCGAACACTCCCAATCAATTGCTTTGTCTCTTGGTCAACAACAGGCACAGCACTCAATCTGTACTTCCATAGACAGTGAAAGGCTTCGCACAAGGGCTTATCTCCGGTTATGGAGATGAGTTGTCCTGGAGGCGGATCAGCTTGGAACCTACATACATAGTTTTAGAACAGGTTGAGTAACACAGAAAGTTTGAAGGCAAATTCTTGAGACAGACATATGACAGGACTGAATTCGACATGAAATTCATAAGGGAGGCCATGATTGAACAGATTGCAATCATGAGATCTACATGAATGTGGCAGACCTGAATTCACTGAGCTTTTTATTCGCGATGTCATCGAACCAAGAGAGTCCGCTGCACTGCAAAAGAAGTTGCATGGCAGCATCCTGGATGACAAAAATCAGTTCAGTGTCTGCTGGCATCACCCGGAACAAGAGAGTACATTGAGGAGGCAAGAAACAGCTTGATACATCTTAAGACTGAACCCTTCTTCACTTCAAGACTTCTGCACATCGGGACTGATTCGTGAGTCAAAGACATGCACTCATCTTCAATCACTATCCAGATGTTTACGGATCATACCTGAGTGATGAAAGCTGTAACTTTGTTTTCCTCGGGATCCACAACAGGCGCAGCCTTCAGGCCGTGCTTCGAGAGAAGTAGCAGAATGTGGAGGAGCGAATTATCGGGATAGACAGGCAAAAATGGACCCCATCTGAAAGATCTAGCTAGAGCGCCAATCTGAATGCACCATTCAGAATGTTAAATGAAGAAATCCTTCAGAATAGCTTTCTTCTTCACATGATAAGCTACGAAGATGAAGTGGTGAGTCATCTGTGCAGAATAGAAAACACGCGATGAAGGAGAGGCAGAAAAAGGCACCTTTGAGCTACCGATGTTCTCAAGTCGTGTCAGAAGTGACCAGAAATCATCATTGTCTTGTACCGCTGCTTTGGGCACACCTTCTATCACTTCATCAGGCGAAGATCCTGATCTGTCTTCACTGCTTTTCTCAACCAAAAGTCCTCTCACTTGCGCTTGCGTTTCTGCCTCTTCAAACTCCTGCCACCATGCCCAATGCAATGCTCAACCAGAGTACACATCTTCTCTGAAGCCCAAACCTAACCTGCACATCTTTACCTCGTGTAGATTGGTGTGAAGGTATAAGGCTGGGTGGATTGAAGATATGATTCTTATGGATGAGGAAAAGAATCATTCATGCGGCTTTAGCTTTGAACATGGGAAGATATCTGAAGCCCAAAACTGTCGGTCGTACTTAATTTGTCTTTCGACTCCTCGGAAGATTTGACACATATTCCCGCATAGGCCTGCATGTGAGAGTGGGTTCTTTATTATCATGTTTAATAATATGAGCAGAACAGCTCTGGATGTGAAATTCAATTTTGATAACTCTGATTAATTTCTCTGGAGCTGAAACTTCCGACTACATAAAAAATGCATCATACGCGAATGAACGAGGCACTGCCAAGTAATGAATACTGTACCTCTAGCGCCCAGAGTATCATTGACCCGAAATCCACTACTCCGACATACTGGTCGGACACAGACAATGAGATCTCCACACTTCTAGGGTTATCAATCACTGGGGCTCCCAGCACATCGTGCTTATATAAAAGTCTCATTGCTTCTTCGATTGTCTGCTCTGCTTGCACTTCGATCACTGATCTCCAACACATGCCAATGCAACAGAGTGGTAAACATTAGTTTTCGTGGAAATTTTCTGACCTGATGTACCTCTGTGAAAATTTTGAACACTGGCGAACTACAATCATTTCTTAAGCTTTACTCGAACATAGCTTCATATCTGGATACCTCCAACGTTGTCGATTCCTGGCACAGACTGCAACGGAATGCGGTCAAAGAAGGCTTTCAAAGCTTCGGTAGGCTGCACAACCCGCAGCTTCGCACTTGCGTCTGCGCCCTCATTCTCAACATTCTCCACGTTCTGATTCACCGCATCTTTCTTCTGACAGAGACCCCTCTCTGTGTCGGACACCAATCTGTGCAGCGTCCTGCTGCTCATATCTCCCGTCTGCACTGACTAAATACCACTTAACCCAATTCTTCTCTTCTCGTTCAAAACGTCAAAACGTCCACTCAGACTCAGCCAAACAGGATGCAAAATCGACTGTTTCGCTGACGGATTTATGATCCACTGCACCTATCGGAGTCAATCCATCGGACGATATATTAGTATCCTCCACCACTCGATGACAATCATAGAGCTGGGAGGCTTGGATCCTTACAGAAGCAATCGTAATAACAAGCAGTGAACTGCAGAAACGAGTCTCGAACTCCACTGATGCGTTTTTCCGGGACTGAAGCATATTCTGGTTTCGGCAGGTTAGATTCGAATCGATCCATGAGAAAAATAAGAAGAAGAACACGGGACCCAACCTACAAGTTGATCCGAGAGATGCTCTCATAAACTTCACCATTTTGGTAGATACCACGAACCGTCGAGACAAAATTACTGAAAACCGTCCAACAATGAATTTTTCAAAGATTGATATGAGAGGAATCTCAAGGACTCAGCAATAACTCACCTCGTAGACCGTCTTTTCTGTAAGGAAACCGATGACTCAGAGCTCTGACAATAATGAACCCGGTCTGTAGTCGGGCATATGGATCCCGTGATCGAGTCCATGGTGAGCACTAAAGCCATGGAATCTCCTCGTACACAGAACCTGAGATTGAGCTGGACACTCCTTCCGAGCAACTCCCGAAGACTTTGCAACGAGTTGTCTGCAGCAGAAGTTTGCAAGAGAAAGTAGAACCGAAAGAGAGACAGGAAAGTGGACTCTGATGTGAAGCTTGTGTGGGCATGAGCCAAGTGTCGTCGGCACAGCGATCGACAAGCTCGATCCACTCACTGCTCGCCACAGCTCGTCCTCCTTGTCTCATGGCCTCCGTTTGTCAACCTCTCCTCTCCACTCTGTCCAACTGCTCACTGCTCTGACGCAGTTCCAGCGTCGCCAGGTTTCTCTCGTTCAGCGGAGCGCAGTCCATGAACATTTGAATCTCCAAATGCAACCTCTGTATCGACTGATTGGAATTTCTAGACAACGAAATTTGTGTGGAGTGAATAGAGAAAGAAACCTATTCGACTGGTTTTCTAAGCAAAAAGGTAATTTGGGTCATGTAACATACCCAGGAATAAGAAGGGGAGTTCTATTTCTTAGAATAAGTTATCTACCATGGATTGTAATCTTGAGTAATCCAATGACCTTCAGAATTAATCAATTTGCAACCTTTCCTTGGACTAGAAACTTTGAAGAACGATACATGAAGAGTGGCCTTGATTAGATGCAAGAGCTTTGGCTGAGAACAAGTAAAGGTTGGCATCTGCTTTCGTTTTGAGAAATCAGTCGTTACTATCTTATACAAATCGACGAGAGTAGGTTAAACGAGTGATTATCCGACACGACGATAAAAGTAAGCAGTGAGTACTATCCTATGCAATGATTATTGATTTCAGTTGCAAACTTATTTTCTTATGGCAAACGTTTTTATGAGGTGAATCTTTGATAGGAATTTGGAGGGTGACACATTTCGGCATCAGCATTGACAGATGAACATGTAAAATGTCATATGAAATGAAAAATTTCTTGCACAAAGGCTTCTAATCTTACAAGAGTACGGCTGTTCACAAACTTGAAACAATGAACCCTGATGACAATGAATAGAAGAGGTGCAAGGCTAAAATAAGTTACGGTAAATTCATAAAAAATATAGGAAATGAAATAAAAATAATAAAAAATTGTCATCAATGAGAAGAAGTGCAAGGTTTAAATGATTTTAATTAAATTTCATATGAAAATCAAGTGAAATAAGTGGCGTCGATAAGAAGAGTGCAGGGTCCGTCTGTTTCTGACTATTTGATTAAGTTGATTTTTTGAGTATTATGTATTACTCATCTTTATAAATTTGTTTTTTACCTCTCTATATTTCGTGGCTTTGTTTTAATTCATGTAAAAAATGAATACATTTTCTCCATGAATCTTCCGTTCGCGGGGCTGCGCAGATCCGCAAGTGGAGCCCCGGAGGATTTATGGATCCGTCAACAGCCGCACGCCCCCTAGATTCCAAAAAACAATCAGAATTAAGAAGCTCAGAAAGAACGTGCGAAAGTTCGATGACCTCTGGAAGGAGTCGATCTGACCTATCAGAGCATGGAACATGAGGGATGATCGTCACGAGCACGTGCTAATGACGTCATCTCTGTGACAAATCTCAGAAAATTTCTCGCGCAGGGCGGGAGAAACACCTCAGCGCACTCTGATCTGTTTCTACACTAACACGATTTGAAGTGCATTGGAGTAGCAACTGGTGTTCGGAATGTCGCTTTGAGATGCAAGGGTACGAGAATTGTCTTCCAGCACTGGTTGCATGCGATGCAGTTGACTGTCTTCGTAGTCTTCGGACCGATAATCAGCTGTAACAGATTTTCTTTCGCAGATCGATCGACGTTCCCGACATGGAGGAACCTGAATGCGACATAGTCTGTGCTTAATATCTGTTTAATATTACGAGGAGATGCTTGACCACAAGAGAACTCTGGAACATATTAGTGAGTGTGCCCTGCTGTTCTGGGTGGAGAACAATGGAGGAGAGACGTCTCAGGGGGAGCAGAGGCTTAGGCTTAGGCTTGATATGCCTTTTCATCTTCGGGCAGATTGTTCGACGGTGTGTCGGTCGAATCGACAAATTGTCTGAGACAGTAGTGCAGAGTCGCATATTTCCTCAACGGAACGAGGGGTTCGCTTTGTGGAAACCCACAGCAGAGGAGACCCCGTGTAGCCTCGTGCTGTGCTGGAACCCCGGCAGGTACTTTCATTGAACATGTTGAGAGCCAAGTTCGAGGGAACCTTCCTGTCCTTTCTCGAATTTCATATCTTGAATCCAGTCCTCTGGCTTCTGACAACTTGATCTTTGCTCTCTCTCGACCCTACGAGTATTATAACAGCGTGCAGAGAGTCTTATGCCAGAAAATTGTCACAATTGACGTGGGAGGCTGATCCTTTCTTCCCTGCGAGAAAGCGAATGTGAATTGGTCGTCGAAACGTTTGGCTATCAATATCGGTGGGCAAGGGTTATGATTTCCATGTCTAGATCATTCTGTAGCTACGAATGGGATGTCGTTTTCCAGCACTCACGTTTCAGCACAATTGAAATCAGCCTCAGATGGGCAGCTCTTGCTGCGGTTTTCCAGTTGCCAATATTTCTCTCGCCACAGCATGGGATTGTCTTCTGGATGGAATGGGCTATCCATTCAAATTCTTCCATCCTCAGGAATCGGAGCAAGTCGAAAAGAGAAAGGGAGGACGGGCAAGACGAAGGTAGGGAAGCTACGTGCTACACCTGTGAGCGGCTTTGACGTTAAGCGGATTTGAACTGTGAAGTCTCTGCTTTTCGAGTCTGAAATGCACTACAGAACTGTATTTTACATACGGCCACCAACATTGGACTGCAACAGAAGTGGTCCAGAGGATCATAAAAGTCCTGTAAGACGCCAGATTCATGTACTTGACAGGACGGGTGGAGGGTGGAGGGTGTAATCCTAGTCCCAGACCTCACGACATGCGCGAGCCAATCCCAGAGACCGGAGAAAACTAAGAAATCCATCTTGACTCTTGCCTTTATTTTGAAGCAGTCCACAAGCTAGTGGAAAATACATCTTCTCACGAGATGCAGTCCTATGCTATACTGTACAAGTGCACATGGCAATCTTGCTCCAACATACTTTGTCCCTGTTCGATGAATCCGTTGAAGAGATTCATTATTCTTCGAGAATGAGGAAGTAAACTTTGAATCTCGGGATATGAGTAAGTAGAAAATTCGTCAAGGGTACTAGTCAGTAAATTTCTGAAAATCGATTATCCAAATTGTATACAAACATCGACTGTACAGCACATACTTCCTGAGTCCTCAGTAAGTATGTGCACCCATCTTGCCAGCTCTTATAGTAGGCTACAGTCGAAGTTTCCTAATTCCGTTTGTATAATTTTCGAGTGGTCCGAATTGCCTTCACGAGAACTACAACCGCTCTATGAGAGAGGTAAAGGATGGTACTCCTGGAAGTATTGGAAGTATTTCGAAATCAGCTCTTTAGTTGGAATATTGGATCAATATAGAAAATGCAGAAGAAACTCTTGTGAATACAACTCGGAATTTTGAGAGGGAGGGAGGGAGACACTGGGATCAGATCTTTGCACTCTAAGCTACTGAGACCAGACACGCGCGCATTTCAAGGTACATGCCTGCTCAGGAAGACCTCGGGAGGGGAGCTGAAACTTTCATAGATCCGCAATGGAAGTCAAACGGCGAGGACCTAGGTGCCAAAGAGTCATAAGTTCTCGTAACGTAGATAATAAAGACCACTACTGAATAGTCTACATGGACAGAACATATCTCATAAGACATGCAAGCATATAATGCAGATCGAGCGAACGCCGTTGTAAGCGAAAGGTGGAACTATTTTATCTTGAATGGATCATTTTGAAGTTTCCTCTTGTGCAGCACCACCTTGCTGTTGAGTACTTGTTCTGAGACCAATGATCATCACCTCCTATCTGATTTGCTCACATTCAATCCTCTAATTTTACTTTCCGTGGATACACATACACCTATCATTTCTAAATGTACAACAGTTAGTTTTCAGGAATTCCACTGCCTCCTAGATCTGAGAACCGACCTTCAGATCAGTAAAATAGGTGTTCTGGGATCTGATGGGAGCCGTCTTCAATGACCCATCGTGTTGGTGCTCCTAAGGGCAACGCGTCCGTCACTTTACGTGACAATGTTGACATCATCCTGAACTTCGATGTAATGTGCAACGTCGTTGCGGCCATTGGTGCTTGGGGCAGACACAGCGTTAGAGGTACTTCCACCATAAATCACAGCGTTGCCGTCGGTCTGCATGAAGAAGTAGCAGTTGCTGATGTCACGGACGGCATTACTATACCTGATTGCTCCACCGCAGTTGTGGTTTAGAACCAGATTGCAATGGGATTGCATGACGAACTTGTAGACCCCATCGGAAGACGTCCGTAATTCGCCGTATGAAATCTGCTGACCGGCTACCAATTCGTAGGCTGGGATGCAACGAGCTGAAACCCAAACTTTGCACAGCACAATACAAGAGCATGACGAGCATTGAGAGACTACAGCGAAGCTATCTTCCGGAACTTCTGCCTGAAGGACCTGCAGACCGGTCTCATTGATGGCTAGCGTCGGACTAGAATTTGGGAGGAGTCTCGAGAAGTCGAGTTGTAGTTTCATCCCATTCGATGGGAAATGGGATGAAAGACGCTTTGTATATACTCGAGAGTATAGCATTTAGACCTGCATATTTTCTGTTAGAGGGATTTTCTGGGTACAATCTGGAATTGAGACGCCTGGTAGAGAAGGTCTCAATTGTCCAGGACGGATCTAAACAAATTTTAGTCCTGGAGTAGTAGAAAAGACCTGAGAATGAGATATCTTTGAAATTCACTGACTTCCGATAACAGTAAGTTGGCCAGTTATTTGTACATTGTTTGATGTAGATCAATACCGACACTATCGATGTAAGGCACAAGAGGTGACTAAAAGCTCTTACCCGCAGGATTCAAGTTATTATTCAAATTTTCAGCTAAGAAATACTTGATTATTCTTTTGAGATCATATTTCAAATAGACTTGAATGAATTATTATCATTAAAATTATTATTCTAATTATGTATAAAATTCGTTTGCAACCTAAAGCTGAAAGGCTTGACTTTCTTATAAATTATTATGAACATGATCCTAATTGTTTTACTGTAAAAATAATAAAGTTCCATGCATATTCTTTAGATGAACTTTGGGTCGACAAAAAATTACATGTTCTTATGAGAAATTTAGAGGAAAGATGGAAAAAAACTATTATCTTTGCTTTCAATAATCTTCAACTTCTTAACATTTTTCTAGTACCCAGCAGACAAATGCTTGAAATTCGAACCTAAAATGTTAGAACTAGTAAATCACCTTCTAGGTTTCGCCTTGGTTACTTCTATGATTGGCCTGTGGGGAAAATAAATGTCTTTGATCTGCATAAATAGCTCTCTGTGCCTCGATCGTCCAGCGATTTGGTGGAAGTGTTTTTTAGAATTTGAGATAGTTTGAATGGTAAACTGTTTCATGAAAGCGATTGTTGATGATCAGAGCTCGTCATGCTCAGTAGCAGTATAGTATATGTTCCGAAGTAAACAATGTTCCAATGTTCCCCTATAAACATCACTGTGTAAGATGACCATGCTGTGAATGTACAGATCATCAAACTGATGAAATATCATCTACAGATTCTACTCGAGTTATATTTTGTAGTAACAATATCTGGAATTCCAAGAAATAATACTGCAAGGTAACCACAGGTACTGTACCTGTCCAGGCTCGAAACAGGATCACATAGGTTACAGTGGAATATAGGCTCTGTTTCCATGTTTCTATGCGATGAAGAAAATGGACTCCGCTTACACTGCTCAGTAGGAGTTTAACACACATAAAATCATTCTTTCATTTGCATTTTTCATATTATAATGAAACTAGAAGAGTACTGCAGACTGTTATTTTCAAACCCAAGTGAGTGTATCAGTTCGTTGCATGATGTCCTCGGACAGAAAAGTCACTCGAGATTAATCATGAGAGTTTAAAATGACGTTGGTGATATTATTTACATAATAAGCTTGACTCCATTGTCTTAAGTCATATTCAAATCCAGCACTATTGTCGCATTCATTTATTACCTCAAAGCTCTTTCTCGGCATGGAGTTTATGGCTCAAGTAAGGTATCAGCGTCTAAAAGATCGATGTAGTTCGTCATTTTCCACTCCATCAGTATTCTACTGGAATACATCACTACTGATACATGCTTTCGAATTCTTCGTGCAGAGTCTTCCCCGAACTCTAAGCTCCGGTTCTTATCGTAGAAGCAGCAGACATGTATGCTTATGCTGCTCGATGACTATAATTACAGCTTCAATCCTTAACGGCAAATGATTCATTGGTTTATCGTGCCCTTTCATACTCGTCAAAGTTAGACTTCAAAATAAAACTGAATCCAATAATTGAAATCACTGTGCTATATTTCTGGTCTTTCGTTGGCCTCAAGACAGCCCTTTATAGCTTATTATTATTGAAACAAGTTCCGACTATCATCAGTTTTTCCAACAGATTTATTCAACAGACAAGCACATGCATATGAAGTAGGTTTAAGTATCGCAATACTGTCTACGAGATCTGGAGATAATAAAGGTTGCGGCAGGTAAGATATCATCGTCTGCGGTCTGGCTTCCCCTGATAATTTCGTTGGTACTTTCAAAAGTAAAGACCACGAGCTCTCGTTTGTTCATGTTGCACGATGACTTCAGTGCACTCTGTTCCTGAAGCCAACAACTCGGGCACAAAGCTTCTCGCGTAGATGATAATTGCTCTAGATTACAGTTCTGACGAGTGGGAAGTCTGGAACTTACACGAACGCATATGCCAAGGTTGCGGAAGCATAAAGCTACCGCATTCGAATCGTCCCGAGATCTAAGCATCGGCTGACATTGCTGGCAGGACTGAATCCACTTTTTCAGATTATCAGACGTTCAGACAACAGGGGATCGAAAGTGCAAACCTTCGTGCACGTTGTGCATTTTGTTCTTCCATCTTTTCCGAGTGTAGTCACACATTCAGATCACCTCGCATTGACTCTGAAGGTCAATGCGAGGGTCAAGCTTTGTAAGTTCATGCTCAAGTGTTCAACACTAAAAGTATACTTTTCAATCCAACGTTGGAATTCGAGGCATGCAAGGAAGAACAAAGATTCCTAAGCACCAGGATAGCACATGCAGTGCTCAAGAAGATATATGTGTGTGGTACTCTGATATTTTCGTATATAGCGGTAGCCACAGGTGTCCATGTCAACGTACTACTGCTGCGTTCGTGTGATCTAGCGTGGAAATTTCAAGATCTTTCTTGCCGCTGATACTAAAAATATGTGCGGGTGGGATATGCTAACAAAGTACCTCGACTGAAATCAACGAACTTCCCGGTTTCGTCATCCAGGTTGCATTGTAATAATGTACATTCGCGTACTACAAGTTAAAGTGATTTCTAGAAGCATTGACAGCAACCAAAGTCAGATCATGGAGAAATCATGTCTCAAACTGCGCGCTTGACTTGGGTCGTCAGACCTTCAACATTTCTGGAGTCACGTATGTAGACTTTGAACGTGGCATTTAGATCTAGGTAGTTAGCAGGTTTCAAGTCTGCTACTGGTCGAATAGGATGAGCTCTATCACCAAATATCTTCATCCAGATTCTCAAATTTGTCAATGGATCCTTCCAATTTTCTCTTTTCCATTATTTGTCTCAGTACGTGGACTTCCACATGGACAGAAGGTGTCTCCAGTACTTCAAGGTGATGAAAGTGTCAATCCCAGTGCTCAACTTCATCACTCGTTTGTAGACATCTTCTGATCGCAAATTAAGCGGTTTGGGGCGCAGAACTGTCAAGACCTTTCATCGGCAATGCAAAGCATCTTCGAGTATGATCCATCATACTCGAAGATGATCGAGACCCTCCTTCCCTTCCTCAAGGGAGGGCATGGCCTTTCAGCTCCAAGGCAGGCCCAAGGCGAAGACAATTGAGGGTAATATACCACGAGGGATCAGAAGGGTAAGAAACAGAGGAAGGGCTCTCATGGTCAGCCCAGTCTGCCAGCCAATGGGCGGAAATGGGAGAGATGAACATCGAGTGCTCGCTGACATCGAACAACACGAGAGAGGGAGAGAGAGATGAACACTTCCAGATAACCCGGGGCATGCAAGGTGCAGATAAGTTTATTTTAGTTCTGATTAATTTCATAGTATGAGTTAATTGAGATCAAATTTTTTATAGTATTACTTTTTACATAATAATATTATTTTCTTTTATATAACTTGATTCCAAAAATTGCAATATTGAAATATAATTAGACTGATGTTTCGATAATAATAAGGTTTTAGGGTTTAGTGAAGCCATCCCGGAATTTTTGCTGGCTGTTGGGTAAGGGTTGCCCAACCACAAATTGCCTGCCAATGTGCTGAAGTGAGAAGAGTACCAAGTGCTAGAGGACTACAAAACCTCCAACCCCCTTGCTCCTCCTTAGACAAGGAGGAAAATATTCTCGTTCAAAGTATTCATTCAGCCATATATATAACACACATAATCCTGACTTCCGTAGTCCCACAAGGTACTCAAATATCTAGGTGGATATTGTACTATTTTCTATTAGTTGATCCTATTGATAGATAGATATATTTATGTCCTACATTCTTATGCAATATGTCATGTGTATAAGTATTGTTTAAAATTAGCATCGGATTAAGGTTAAATTTAGTTGAATTAACCCTAGGTAGAAATTAGGTTAATTTCACTCATGTCGGAAAGTATAGTCTTGTGTATTCGAAGAATTGTCAATTTTTCGATTAGAGACTTTCTGCGTTGGGTTAACTTTCAGTAGGTTGGCTATCGTGACCTGCTAGCATCGGCATGGAGTCTTAGAGTTATGGAGTGGGCTG